AAGTGATAAACTTCAAATACAGCTTTTATCAGTGACAGAAATAGAGAGTTCTTAAGGGGGTTCTTCTTTAGAAAGTCATCTCCTTTCAGGCTTCCCACAATTCACTTGGGATTATGAATGTTAAGCACAGCAGCTGATTTTAATTGCCATGATGATGCATAGAGAGAGATGTGATATCTGAAATAACAGGCTTCTAAACAATGAGGGCTTTAAAGATTAAAGTCAGCACTTTAAATTACACTTACTACAGAATAGGAAGCTAATGCTGACCGTAGAACGCAGGTGTAATATTCTCCATATGTCTGGACACACTGTAGCTGCTGAAAGAGATCAAGCCCTCTGCATCACACACAATAAAAATTCAAGGACAGTGTAATGCAACGTTCTATTTTGAAGGTTAAGAGGAAGATCACAATAATCAATAAAAAATACGTAATGATTCAGGGTGTTCTTGAATACAGGATGGCAAACTCAGAAATCAGTGGACATTGGTAGTTTCCTAGTCAACAACAGGCAGACTGGTGAGCTGATGGGTGTCCTTTGAATATCTAGAATCTTGGACTAAGAAGTAAATTGGTCTGGAGCTGAAGTGATAGTACAGCAGGTCGAGCGATTGCCTTACATGCAACTGACGTGGGTGACCTGGTTTCATCTCTAGTATCCTTTATGGTCCCCTGAACCTACCAAAAGTGATCCCTGAGCACCACCAGATATGGCCCCAAACCCAAAGATAAATAAATTAAGTAAGAAAAAGTGAGCTGGTCCACAATCCTGATAGTACTAGTCATAGTGGAAATATTGCAAACATTGGTCAGTGGATAGATCTGTTCAGGTGAGAGAAAAAAAATCCTTCAAATTTCACACATAATTAAGAATTATTTGAACACTAAGATCAAAGTATAAATCTGGGAGGGGAAGGGGAGATTGTAATCATGGCATTTGAAAGAAGCATGTGCTCCTTATAAAATGCTTCTCTTAAAATAGACAATCCTTGGTTTGCTGTGTGAAAATTCTGAGAGCAAAAGCAAAATTTTACTGGAAAACAAAATGGGAACAATCCTTTCGATGTGAAAGAAAATTCTTCGAATAGTATACCTTTGTTTTAGCTACTGCTTATGGGAAAATTTAAGTGGTAAATTTTTTTTATAAAGTTTCAACATAGATTTGGTGGGAGAAACAATTTATTATACCCACCAAAGCCCATAAATACCTGACAGATAGTAATTTTTCCTTATTCTTGCCAGTGTCCCTTTATAACTAAGTAGATTTCTTTTAAAACTCTTCTGAAATTAAACAGACCAATTTTATTATCAAGGTAAAGGTAAAGGTAAAGGCCCTCCCGTTGATCGTCGACTTGCCCGAGCGGGCCCAGTAACATCTCCATTGGAGACTTTGTTGTTACTGTGTCTGGCATATCGAATACGTCACAGGGAGCTTGCCAGGCTCTGCCATGTGGGCGAGATACTCTCGGTAGCTTGCCAGGCTCTCCGAGAGGGGCAGAGGAATCGAACTCGGGTCGGCCATGTTAGCCACTTGTAAGGCGAACGCCCTACCCGCTCTTCCCATTTGTATCATAAATTTTCTAAGGTGCCACTTTCCTTAAAATAATAAAAAAAAGATGCTCAAAATTAGCAACAAGCATTTTATGATAAAAAAATTTTACTTTAAATTCACTAACACAGGGGCTGAAGATATTATACAGGGTGCTTGCTTTGGGTAGGATGCCTGCTTTGTTTGTGGCCAACCCAGGTTTGATCCCCAGTATCCCATATGATCCCCTGATCCATTAGAAATTCCTGAGTGCAGAGCCAGGAGTAGTCCCTGAGCATTGCTAGGTGTGGCCCTAATAGTAAAAACCAGATAAATAAATTAATTCTCTAATTCAATATATATACCTACATATGTCTCTCTCTATACATATATGGTACTTATAAAATAAGCTATAAAACTGCATTCTTTCATCTTGAAATCTTTATTTTTGACTTTTAAAATGTCCAACTACCTTTAAATCACTTCCTAAATTTTTCTGATCAATGTATACTGATGTCTAGGCAGTGAACCTTGGGTCCTCTTCTGAAAGATGAGCAAAGTTTCATAAGTCTACATAATTTTACTAGTTTATTTTCTTCAATATGCGAGCACTTTTTTGAAGAAAGAAATGTGTTTACTCGAGGGCCAGAGTGACAGCAGAGTTTAGGGCACACACCACATGCAAGGTGCTACCCACATCCATGGTGCTACATGGCCTGATCATACCAGAGCGACCCTGATGATCCCTTGTACCACAGGGTCTCCGCAGCACCCCAATCTCTGGTTGTTGCAGTGAACTACCAGCACAGTTGGCTGAGTAACATCAGTAGGACCTCCTGCGGACCCCTTAAAGAAGTGTATTTGCTTGTAAGTGAGAAAGAGAGCATACTGAGTAGCAGGGGGGAGGCAACTGAGTGTTATTTGCGGACAACACTAGCTGGTCTCCTGAAGGCACGGATTAGATCTTTGTGTCTGTTGCAGGAACCAGCATTGTGTCCTGTCTGCTTGAAAGCCACAAGGTATTTTTCTCAGGCCATTGTGGGAAAGCTGGAGGCAGTCATATTGATAAAAAGCTGATTCTCACTTGAAAATTAACAACCAAAAAAATTGAGTTGAATAACTTCCCAAGTTAACCTACTATTCCAGCAACATAAGAAAGTTTATTTATTTTTTTTCGGGGGAGTGGGGTCATTTAATAGTAACCTTTAGTGGTGAAGGCAAGATCTCTTTGATACAGCAACCATTTAGAAGCGAAACTCTTACAGTCAGCCCAGCATCTGAGCAAACAGAAGAAAAGTGATTTCAGGATCAGGCCTGGATGTGGAGAAACAGCGTTCTGTTACCGTCGCATTGTCTAGAAGACAGTCGCATGTTCTCATGTAAGCATAAGGAAGGCTTAACGTTTGCTATTTTCTAATAAAAGTGTGGAACCTTTTTCTCCCAGTTTAAACCTCTGGGAATAACTGAAAATTCAGAATGATATCATCAATGATTGATGATATCATCAAGGTTATTTTTCTTTGTTTTTGTCTAGAGATTTGTTTTTAAGCTCAAGTCATAATCCAGAGATAACTTTCATGTATAAAACCAGAAAATCTTAGAGAGCAACATTTTGGAGAAAATTCCATAATAAATAATAAATAATAATAAATCAAGGGCAACCTAGGTGATAACTACTATAGAATCCCTGGGGGTGGGGGTGGGGTGGGAAATCCTTTCTTGCATGACCACTCCAGCATCATTATGGGTGCAAAACTCAGTCACCTAACAAGAGAGGACTGTGAGATGCAACATAAACTACTATAAAGGCCTGACTTCTATTCCCTGCCCCCAGTCCAGAAGTCTAACGAAGGAAAAAGTTAAATGATGCTTAAAAGTTTCATATGGAAAAATCTGCTTCCCTTTAAGGAAGTTAAAGAGACTTGTTTAATAATCATTCAAATATTAGAGGGAAAAATACACTTTCTCTTTAGCACAGCGGTAGGGCGTTCGCCTTACAAGCGGCCAACATAGCCGACCCGAGTTCGATTCCTCCGTCCCTCTCGGAGAGCCCGGCAAGCTACCGAGAGTATTCGATATGCCAGACACAGTAACAACAAAGTCTCCAATGGAGACGTTACTGGGCCTGCTCGAGCAAATCGACGATCAACGGGAGGGCCTTTACCTTTACCTTATCTATATTAAAGAATTGAGGTGGTTCGAGGACTTTCCTTTCATTGGCCTCTAAATTCAGAACAACGCAAGACTTGAAAAGCATCATCTTAAAACCTAGCCCCCAAATGTTAAGAAAGGAATCACTGGATATCCTTATTGTTCTCACAATTTCTTCTTCTGAGAAAGCAATAAGAAGCATCAGATCATCTTCCCCTCATGGAGGGTCACTAGGCAGGGAATGTTTTAAGGCCACCTTCTCACCTTCACCATCCTTTCCCCTTTGGGAAAACAAAAGCATCTCATCTCTAGGCAAAGTTCAGGACCCAGAAAAAATTGCTTAGCTCTGATTATATAGGGACTAAAGCAAACAAGATATCCTTGGTTGAGCTCAAATTTGTCTCACTGCAACAGAAATGACAACAAAAACGAGAAATAAATGTAGCCTCCAATGGATTCTTCTTGCATTTGGTGGGTCTGTTCTGGCAGGCAGTAGAGCAGAACTTAAATCCTTGATCAGATAAAGGTAATCCTGGGTTCTCCTTGGTGCCATCATCATATACAGCAGGGCTCGAGTAAGGTCTCCTCCTCCTCCTCCTCCTCCTCCTCCTCCTCCTCCTCCTCCTCCTCCTCCTCCTCCTCCTCCTCCTCCTCCTCATATTATTTGGTAAGTCTGCCTGACGACGCTATTTTAAAAAGTCATGAGATCAAGGTGGGGAGAAAGAAAAGGTTTACTTCCCTGTGGGAGACAACTAAAAAAAATGGGGCTCAAGAAACAATTTTAAAAGACAATGCCATGTCCAGTTTTACAAAGGAGGGACTGTTGCGGTTTAGCAAGGCCCTAGGGTGCAGAACCAAGACAGACTGAAGCAGAGGATGAGGTTCAGACAAATTTGCATTTCCATAAGGAGTATCTGGAGGCAGGTGGGAAGGGTTGGACCAAGGGTCTGCGCTGCTTCCTAGCGGGGTGACTACTTTGGGGTAACCCAGAGGGAAGGGGACTCCGGGGATTGTGAGTTTCACAGAAGCAGCTCCAAGAGGCAGCAGAGGGGTGAGTGGGTGCAAGCAACTGGGCTGTTCGGCTCGTCCTGTCGCCGGCTGGCACCGGTTTCCTGCAGGAGAGGAGGGACCCCCGCAAGGCTGCGGTCCCGCGCCCGGAAACGCGGTTGCTATGACGACGGGAGCGGTTGGCCCGCGGGCTCCCAATAGGTCGCCAGGACCAGGGGGTTGGGCGCGGCCTCGGTTGCTATGGCAGCGAGGGACGCCTAGCCGGGGCACGGTGCTGTTGCGAGGCCAAAGTCCTGCTGTCTGTCCTTTGCATGGCACCCAAGAAAGAGAAAGGCGGGACGGCGAATGCCGGCCCCAAGCTCTGGGAACCGTCGCTCATCGCTGCACAGTTCAACCAGGTCAGCCCCCTGCCCCCCAGGATGGGCAACCCCCGCCCCCCCCAGGCCACACCAGGCCCGGGCAGCCCACCTGCCTTCCCAGCATCCTAAAGCCCTGCTCCCCAAAGCGCTCCTGCCACTGGATCCTTCTGCTCTGCAGAGGCCCTAAAGGACTCGGGGTCCCACCCTCAGGGGGGTTTGTAGAACCTGGTAGTCGCCCTCAGGGGGGTTTGTAGAACCTGTTGGTGGGTGGGATGGTGAGCAGAGGCCAAGGCGCAGCGCGCGGGCGCCGCGGGCCTGGGGTCCCGGGGCTGCAGCTGTGTCCTGGGAATGCGTGCTACCTCCCCGCGAGGCGGCATCCCCTGTGCCAACCCAGCAGTGCCCTGCAGGTGGGACCCTTGTCGAATCTGCTATGGCACGGCCCAGGGTAAAACTTAGATGACACTGCAGACCTGCAGTGTCAGAGAAGGAGGAATCCGTGCCAGGACCCCGCCACTCCTTTGCCAAAGATTTGGGAATACTTTGAAGTTTTCTGTGCGTTAGCGGGTGTCCGTCAGGCTGCTCACTTATTCAGAGGATGCCACAGAGGTACCAGGTAACGTGTAACCCGTCTGCCAAGTGAATACAGCTTTTCAGAACCGACTTGTGGCCTCCCTGTCTGCATCCCTCCTGATCTGTCTTGTCAGCTGTAAGTGCAAATAGCTCTTGTCTTCTGGCCCTGGAAGTCCTCTACCGCCCCAACTTGATAAATCTAGTGTGATATTGGGATCGGAAGGATGATGATTAAGAGGATTCCAGCCTGCTTTTCCCAAGAACCGTAAAAAGTGGGAAAATGGGAAATAGGGCCAGAGATAACAGTGGGGAATGCGTTTGCCCTGCACGTGGCGGACCCAGGCATCCTCTATGGTACTCCCCCCCCCCACGCCCTGCGTGCCCCCCTACCTAATTCCTGGGTGTAAAACCAGGAATAAGCCCTGAAGGGCACCACCCAATGTGCATCTCGCCTAAAAAGGAGCGGGGGTGAGGGAGGGGGAAAGGGGAAATTATTTTTTTTAATTTTATATATGTACAGTGCACTAGAAAGTTAGAGGAAAAATATATATACAATCTTTGGGTGCCCTTTTGAGACCTATTTGTTCTATTTTCCTCTGTAATTATTTTATCTGTATGGACATAAGTCTGCCTGATGCAAAAAAAAATAATCCTGATAAAAATGTCCCAAATCTAATTACAAAATTGCTGATACTGACATGATAATGCATGACAGTGAGGAATTTTTGGTGATTTTTGTAAGTTAAAGGAATGAAAGGTGTCAATTCAGTATTTTCCACTTACATTCTCAAAATTTCAAAGATGTGTTTCAGAATACTTTGTAAAAGCACCTTCTCTTGCTTTTACAAGTCAAAACTACCCAAGCTATTTCCTCCCTCCATTTCTTTAAGATTGTATAGGCAAGCTTGGGCTTAAGTGTCTATTTCTGCTTGAATTATAAACTGCTGAACAACGAAGTTTGATAGAGGTGCTGACACTGCATTAACTTCAGTGTTGCAAATATGAAGCTATAATTTCCTACTTAATGGAAAACCTAAAGGCACTATTTTTACTTGCGACTGGAAAGCCTGAAATAATATTCAGCTTTCTGCTCAAATGGTAGGATTTCAATAAATCTATTTAAAAGACTTTGAACTCAGAATAATATGGGTTTTAGCAACAAAGGTGAACTTCTTCAATGTGTTGGAATACATGTTCTTATTGTATGAGGAAGACCTTTGCACTCCATCGCTCTTCATATTTTTCTCTCAGCTTGATTTCATATCAGATCCAAGAATAAAGTTTCTATATTAACCTGGCAGTGCAATGTCCAGAGGCATAGCCTAACCTCCGAAGTAACATTTTAAATTTGGAGTGAATACGATGACATATGTGTGAATTCCTTATTCACATGGTTAGAAAAATACTTTGCACATAATGGGTGCTTAAAGAAACTGTTACTGCTTTTATTCCCAGCACATTTATTTCCATTTAATTGCTATTCATGTACAGAATTGTGTTGCAGAAGTATGATGACGTATGTGGGATACTATCTTGATTATTGTGTGTATGTGCTGAGAGTGGGAGATAGGGAATTCGTTTTCCTCAGATTTCTTAACTAAGTTAGTTTTTAGAATTATCTGATAAAGTAATCATTAGTGATTCCGAGCTCCTATTTCTAGGGGGCTGTAGTAGATTGTTGTTTTTGTTTTGGAGCAACTCACAGCAGTGCCCAGGACCTACTTCTGGCTCTCTGCTCAGGAGTGACTCCTGGTAGTGCTTGGGGGACAATATGCAGTGCCAGGGATCAAACTTGGGTCTACCCCATGCAAAAGAAGCTCTTTACCCTCTGTATTATCTTGTTCAGAGAGGGTTGAGTTTCCCTCTGCCCTGGGCAGAGCCCCAGCAGCTGAAGACCTCCGGGACCCAGCCACAGCCATGCTGAGACCACTCTCCACATGCTAGGATGAGCCTCACACATGAAGGAACTGGCAGAGGAACCCAGGTGGGTGGGACACGGGGCTAAGATCTCCAAGCCTGCTTGGTTCGGGACTGACTCCACCCAGATTCCCCATCTTCCAGTAGCTAGACAGTTATACCCACCAACTGCCATGTAACCCCATATGGCCAAGATCTAGAGACTATAAAACCAAGTTCCCGAAAGCGTGTGGCAGTACGACTTCTTATTGTCTAGTACTCGCTCTCAGAGAAACCAGCAGGCTACCGAGAGTATCTTGCCTGCATATATGCCTGACTAGGAACACCTGTAAAGGTGATTAGAGGCTGCCCCAAAAGCCTGAATCCCTCTCAGAGAGTCTGGCAAGCTACTGAGAATATTCCGCCCGCACGGCAGAGCCTGGCAAGCTACCCGTGGTATACTTGATATGCCAAAAACAGTAACAATGATAGTTCTCATTCCCCTTACTCTGAAAGAGACCCAATATTCCATCGGGCTACACTAGCACATGACAGGGAAGAATGGAAAAGTTACTGGCGCCCGCTCAAGCAAATCGATGAACAACGGGGTGATAGTGATAGTGATTATCTTGCTTTCTGACCTGAGACTTTAAAGAGAATGAAGAAATTCCCATTTGGTTTTAGTAAATTTACTTTAACTATTTTGAGGCATCCTTTCAGGTGGAAATAATGTATTTTTCGTTATCTTTCAGTTAATCTCAAATCATAAAATGATAGTCAATAAGTGCAAGGTGCTGTATTACTCAGCACTAAATGATTAGATGAAGACACAGCTTAGAAAGATGAATGTGGCCTGTGGTAGTCAGGAAATGGTTTATAAAATACTTGCCTTTGAGAAGGTCCTGAAGAAAGAATAGCATTTGAATAGGCAGAATAGAAAGAGAATAATTGCTTTAGGGCAATGACCAATATATGCCATAAATAAATAGGAGACAATTAATTAGAAAAAGAGTAAATGGTTGGTTGGACCAAATCTGAGAGTACAGTGCTCCTGAATTTGTCTATTTAACAGCCATTTACTAACTTTTCTATCTCTGCACCAAAAAATTTAGCTGATTCAATTTGCTGTTATACAGATAATGGATCTGAACAGTACTATGCTGAGTGAAGTTAGTCATGAGAAAAGGGAAAGATACAGAATGACCTTCCTCATATATAGAATGTAAAGAAATGTAGTAAGGAAACTACAGATGTTCAAAAGCAACAGAAACTGAGAACTGGTCTTTAGGAGGCAGCGTATCACTGTAGGGGCAGAGGTGGGAATAGGATGGAGTAGAGATTCCTGGGACAGATGGTGGAGGGAGGAGGAAGCTCTAGTCGGGGGTATGGTGTTGTGATGTTTGATGCATGGAACCCTGTCATTATCAATATTCTAAATCACGGTGCCTTATATAAGAAATTAAAAAAAACATTTAGCTTATTAATGTATGTAAAAACTCACTTCATTAGAGAGTAAGAAACTACTGAGAGTATTTTAATTGGCAGTAAGATCATTAGCAAGGGCTTGTATGTGACAGAAATTACATTTCTGTCTCTAGCTGCATATGGAAGTTATAGATCTTTGTTATCATGTCAATTAATATCTTTTCATCAGAGTTTTTAATTTCTATTAGCCATAGTGAGAGATAAATATACAGATAAATATGTGTATATATGTCATATCCATATATAAAACATACATATACACACACATATATAGCACTGTCCTCCCGTTGTTCATTGATTTGCTTGAGCGGGCCAAGTAACGTCTCCATTTTGAGACTTGTTGTTACTGTGTTTGGCATATCGAGTACATCACGGGGAGCTTGCCAGGCTTTGCCATGTGGGCGAGATACCCTTGGTAGCTTGCCGTGCTCTCCGAGAGGGGCGGAAAAATCGAACCCAGCTCGGCTGGGCTGGCTGCACACAAGGCAAACACCCTACCACTGTGCTGTTGCACACACACATATAAATAAATAGATATTTCAGATGTGTCTCTGTATATACAGAGAGATACATCCTATTTGGTATGAGGAAATATCTTACTGTGGCTTTGATTGGCCCTTTCCTCATGATTTGTAATACTGAGAATCCTTTAAAGTGCTTCTTGATCAAGTGTATAATTTCTTTTGCCCATTCTAAGATTTGGTTGTTTGGATTTTGTTGCTGTTGTGATTGTAGGAGTTCTTTACATATGGTAGATATTAATCCCTTATTAACATAATTTTCAAATATTCTATCACATCTGTGAGTTGCTTTGTCACTAATGTCAGGGTCCGTGGATGTACACTTTTTAATTTTGATGAACTTCAATGAATCTAAATTTTCTTTTGTAGCCTATGTATGTGGAGGCACAACAAAGTAGCTATTGTCAAAGCCAAGATTCTCCAATATATTTTCTTCTAAGATTTATATAGTTTCGTATACCTTGCATTTAGGTATTCCATTCACGTTGAGTTGATTTTTGCTTATGGTATGATGTAAGCTTTCAAATTCATTATTTTACACATGGATTTCAAATTTCTGAGCAACAG